ATTTTAAAGTTGGATAAGAAAAGCATTTGAATTGGGTGTTGAAATAGAATTCATTGTAACGTATAATTTGCTTCCTTTAATAATAAAGCAATTAATAAAACATTGTTCAAATTATAGTTCAGCTAATTTTAAGCTTAAAATTAACGTGCAAATAATTAATTAACAGTAGATATATATTTAGTCATTAAATTCTGAACGCATTTGTGAAAACGACTATTTCATATGTAACAATTTACTGCATTTATTTATTAATAAATTAACATTGAAATTTTTCTACATTTATCGCGTTTTACATTACTACATATTTATCACTTTGTCCTACGAAGTAGAACTTGATCCTCATTCCATTCAACAAGGACGAAAATCACGTAACAATTCTATTAGAGTGAAATTTATTCCGCTTTAAGTGAACCGAAACTCGCTGACAGCGTAAATACACAAATTTTACCCTTCCTTTAAATTCACTCTGAATGAAACATTATTTAATATGTATTTAAATTAGTTCATAACTTTTATAGCTTTCAAATATTATCTAATTATTGAATAATAATCAGAATATCTTGTAATATAAAAGTAAGTTGGAATGGAATAAACAGAAAAATATGAATATCTGTTTACTGAAATATATATAAAAACAAAAAATATTATATTTCTTAATTATATATCTTTATAAATATTGCTGATATATAAATATTGACCAAGTAATAAGTTATTAATGTGTCTTTTTATATTTTCTTTAATTTTCTTGCAATAATACAATACATCTAATAATATATTATACATAATATAATTGTAATAATTATGTGTAATAATTCTAATACTGGATTTTATTTTAAATAAATATTATAATATAACTTGAACGATAGCTCTTTGGAATTAAAAAATTGATTTTAATAAAATAATTTAATCATTACCATATTTAATATACTTAATATTTATTACCATTTTCAAATACTATTTGCTTAATTCTGAAAATCATTTATCACATTTCACATATTTCATCCTGTATATTTCAATAGCATCTTATATTAGTAAATAAGAGTTACTACAAATAAATTCAATTTTATTAGAATTTTTTTCTAATTTAACAAATTTTGAGGATTATTAAATTTTGAAGATTAAAAGATCGATTTCCACTTTAATTTTTTAAAAAATTATTTTTTCTATATTCCATTCATCTCAGTTTTTATGTTTCAATATCACCTCATCGTCAATTAAATTATTAAAAAAAAAAAAAAATTCAATAGTAAAATCCGATTAAATCTTTGAGCAATGGAAAACAAGTAATTCGAGCAACGATTATTTTAACGGGACGAAAAAGAAATTCTCTTGATGCTAATCTCGCCAACTCCGACAAATTTCGAGGGTTCCAACTTCAATTAGGTTTAGCACCGTAAAAATACGGGGGTTAGGGCCGCTTCCACTTGAGCGCCGTTTCCGCAGGAAGTAATTTCGACTCTTTAATGAAATTTTAAAATTTCCCGCCGACTTCGGATAATGTGCAAACTGTATTCGCCTCGCGGACCAATGTTCTTTAATTTTCGCAAATTTCATCCGGATTGCACAGAGAGAATGTTAATATTAAGCGTTTTTCCTCTGTGGCGGAATCAAAACTTTCAATTAATATTAGTTCGTTTTCTACAAACGGAAAAGGAAAATTATTGTTCGTAGAAAATGGAATTTTTAATTTAATATCTATGATATTGAATTTTTATTATATATATATAATCACATATATATAATATTTATAATTTCATTATTTAATTATTTTATCAAATTACTTAATTTATATAATAATAATTTGATAAATTTCTGATATTATTTAAATATAAATGATGGAATGTACTGTTTTTGAAGTGAAATATATTCAACAGATTATTAGTTATTCTTTTTTAAATGTTGAATAAAAAAGAGTTCTACATTCACCATTTAAGGAATTTCGCGTTTTTAATGGAAAGATTATTCCAATAAATCATAATCTTGATTTTCTTTCTTTCAACTTTATTACATTCAAAGTTACAAGATTTTATCTTTAAGTCCCGGTTTCACCTCAATCTTCTCTTTAAGTTTCTAAAAGAATTTTATAAAGATAAAAGAAATTTTTTAAAAGAAAACGAAATAAAAAAAAAAGAGTAATAGAAATTTGCATTATTTTAAATTCATAAAGAAAACTTTTATTATAAAAATATAATATTACATCTTAAATAGAGATATTTTATACAAATAAAATTTTATCATAAAAATTAATCATTGATAGTTACTTCTCGATGCATTTCGGATAAGATGCCTATTGCAAATAATACGTCACCCAAAGTATCACAAATTTTGATTACTTTAGAAATTGCCATAGACGAAGCAGCAAGATAACCTCATCATTTTCAAAGGAATTAGCGGTAACATGTACACGTCGAATACCTGATAATGTCACTGTAAACTTGCTTCCTCGCTCATGAGCATACTAATTATTATCTTGAAATGAAAGATTAACTTGTATCGTGTATGCAACTGGATAATCTCAGAATTTCTAAATATAACATATTCTTCATGATATTAAATAACGAAGCATTGTACCAATTGGTCAAAAAGAATTATTAATACTCAAAATAGAAAAAATTTAGTTTATTTAACTAACTTCTAAATCAAAATATTTACAGTACTTCAAATAATACGTCAAAAAAAACCTGAATTTATTCATCATCATTTACAAAAATAAATACAACATACAATAATTCTTTTTAATCAGACAAGATTCCCCCGTATTCGATCATCAAACGTTTCAATCTTTCAGTATCTCTCTGAAAAAAAAAATCTCTCCCACTTTTACAAAAATTTTAAACTTCCTTAATTATATCAATAGATAATTGCATCGAACACAGATCTCGAAGATAAAATTGTTGCGCCGAATTTCAAAGAAAGTTCGTCAAGATAAATCATTCACGGCTAAACAAAGTTAACTTAACCGGAAGCGCATCCTCCATTATCGATTACACTCCCATTTACCCATTTATCCCTACCCATTTTTCCCCCTCCACGCGTCTCCTCTTTCTCTTCGCGTCTCTTTCCTCTCCGTCCCATCCACTTCTCTTCTTTCTCTTCGTTCCAGCAGAGAGCGTCGAGGAACCTTGGCATTTTCATTTCCGTCCTAAACGTCCTTGTCCACCGCAAAGATAATGCATCGACCCCGTTCCACCATAAAACAACTCCCGCATGCATTTTTATTGGCGAAACACGGCCCCGATCGCGAAGGATGCCCATATAGGAGAATTTATAACTCGTATATCCTTGCGGATGGTGGTCGGTTAAGAGGTTTAGTCGAATGGGACGTGTGAGAGGAGAAGGGGAGGGGGGGGGGGGATAAAAATGTCGGGCGGTGAATGGAGCGAGGGAAGGGGTTGGAGGAACCACTTAACAAACTGCTGAACTCACACCCCGCGGGATTTTATTTCTACTTAAATGGAGAGCGCCGAGATACGCATTGGATACGGATTCTTCTGCCGGATCTCAGGGATACGAATTTATCTGTACCGTTTGTTATAGACACTCTTTTATCCTCGGCTTCGATCGTATATCCCCCGATTCTCCACGAGTCTTATAAAATTTCTTTCGCCTCCCAGTTGAAGCTATCCCGTTCAAGGTTAGTTAGGGGGATGGTGGAGGTATTACGCTCTTGGTCTTCTTTCTTTATGTTTGTTTCTTTTCTTTCTTTTCTGGAGGAGAGGTTTCGAGATATCGAAGCAGGATCAGTAAAATGTTAATTGCTTAGGATAGATTGGGGATATAATTTTTAATAAATTATACGGTGCGTAAGAATATTGTTCGAAGCTTGTTTGTAAGAATTAATATGAAAATAATATAGATCAAATTTTCTTTCTTTTTGTCAATTGGAATTAAAATTGGAATTTTTGTTGATTAAAATTGTTCATAGTTTATCTATTTTTTAAAGTTTCCAATAAAGTTTCCAAATATTTAATTTTTTCTTTAGAAAAATTTGTAGTTAAATTAATTTATTAAATTTGGATGAATTTGTAAGTTTGTGTTAGTGAGATATCTTATTTCGTTAATAAATAAGGTTGAACCAATATTTTTCTTCTACCAACTTGCGAGTTTGTTTTGGCAACTGTGAAATCAAGCCTTCGGGATATTTCACGAATATATTAACCGTATATTAAAGCATCAGTTAGTTTTGTATGAAATTTAGATTATATAAAGAAAATTAATTTTAATTATCGTGCGAATATAATTTATATGTATAATTTAGCAATTGATATAAATAACACGACAATTTATTAAAAAATTATTTGAGAAATTGTTCAAAGAAGAATTTATTTCCTCTTATTCAAAATAATATATTAAATTCACAAAACTCACAAACACGAGAGAAATTTATTTAATATCCGAACTCTGAATATTTTTCACGAATCAGCAATATCTACATAACTAAATCAACAATATATAAGAAAAAAAGAAGAATTATTTAAATTACCACCTTAATACAATATATATAATACAAACATATATGTATATCTCCTTCATAAATTACATAAATCATTTAATCCTCTTCAAATATTAAATAAAGACACAAAGAGAGAAGATCAATCTGAATCTTCGTTGCACAAACTTTTGACAATTTTTAAATCAAAAACCGAAAATCAAGAAGCAATTACATATCAGCGTTGAAAAGCGTCAGAGGATATCAAGTCTTAATTTTTTCCTTTTTTAAACATCCCTCTGCCTCCTTCCCTTATACAAAGAAAGGAAGTACAACAAAAAAGGAGGAAAAAAGCGGCTTCCTTTATTTTTCCAACATCCGTTTCATGCCACGCGTAACGAAGAAGGGAACCGACGAATGATATCTGTTCCATTCAAGAAACGCTCGCCTCTAATTTATTCGAAGCTGTATGCTCGCGCATAATATGGCGTGAATAATTGCAAAGACGTTTGAAACGGTGCGTGAATACGGAAACAGGTGAAGGAGGAAGGAGGATAGAGGGGTGGCTCACCTTGTACGGACCAAGATTTTCCACGATGCAGGTGAAAACGGCCTCTCGGCCCACGGATACCGTCAGGTTGTTGAGCGGTGTGCCGAACCTGGGTAAATCTGCAACACGAAAGATCCTCGTCTTAAGTATCCCGTCAACGGTGAACGATTTGCATAACCGTGGTATACACGCCCCCTTACTGCTCGCTGCTACTTATACTTATAACCTCTCTCCCCCCGCTGGAGGAGCGCGGTAAAGTTTGCAAAGTACTCGAGAAACTCGACCGGTGAATGGGGCGAGTTAACGTAAGCGGGTCAACCTGGGACCTAAGCCAGCCTCTTTATATTTCTCGGCGAAATTCTCGTTCTCCTGATTTCAGCGGAAGCTAGTTCGTTCGATCAAGGAAGGGAAGATGGAGGCGGTCATCCCAGGGAATGTCCCGTGAAAATAAAGGGAATGGAAGAGAAAGAGAGATGTCGAAGGAATTCGAAGGGGTTTATTGTTATAATACTGGGTTCGAGTGGACGGATATATTTTTGTTTGAAAAGAGGTTATCGGGATGGTATTGTAATGATGAGTATTATAACTCGAGTTCTGAACATATGAAAAATATTTTTATTTTTGTGCGAATAATGTTGAAAAATGAGTGTATATTTGAATAGGAAAATTTATATAGTTTTAAAATGTATCTGAACAGTTTTGGTTTTTTTTTAATATAATAATGAAATGGATTTGTTTAATTGCTTTTTTATTTGCACGCTTTCATGGTTATATATATATATATATATATATTGGTAATTTCGAAATTCGTTTTGTTTATTATATTTCCAGAAAGAAATTTATTATATATTTAAAATAAATGAAAGTATATGTATATATACGTATATAGCAATCGAAATATATTTGATCCATGTCATAAACGATTCAGAGGTATATCATGCAGAAGTTCGTTGGATACGAAAATTTCAATTCTCGTAAGACCATTGGTTACACATGCCACGTTGAGAATTTATAGCACATCGATCGTCATTGGTAGTAGAACGAAATTGCAAGACCTTAAAAATGAACAAAAAAGTTAAAAGTTCTTGAATATGAAAAGAATAATTAAAAATCTATATTATATTTCCAGCATATGATAAAGTTTCTCTAAAGATATAAATTTTTGTTAATTCAAATTTTCATTCAAACGTTTTCCAATCTCAATCATATTTAATAAATGTATCTGTATCTTAAAAAAAAGGAAAGGAATGAAAGATAAGAAAGAAGAATTATAATTATAATTATTCGACTGCATTTAATATGAACATATCAAGAAGACATAAACACGATATTGAAAGAGTAAATAATAGTTAAAAATTAATTTGCTTCAAAATCTCCAAACAAAAATACGACACGTGATATGATCACGTGATAAATCTAGGAAAATTCCAATAAACGTGACTAACAGTGTCATGTGAAATTGATTATACTGTGACATCTGGCACTTCCATTATCTCACGGTTTTTTACCGAATTTTTCACTATTTTCGTACAAATTTCTAAATCATTAGATATTAATTTCGATCATTCATCTTTTCTGACAAATATTTCCATAATATTGGATTCCATAATATAGCTATAATGATTGTATTTTATCTTGAAATCGATCTTAAATCGATAAATAAAACGTAAAAGCTTTCAACAAATTTGACAGAGATGATTGATGTATGTATTTCCTTTTTCTATAATGCAAGTACGATAAAACTAAAAATAAATACAATAACAATTGTGTATTAAAATATCACATAATCCGCACTTATATTTATCTGAGATATTTACATATTCGAATTTATATTCCTTCAATAATAATTATAATATTATTTATTGAATAAACGATAATTAAACGTTAATCGCATTCTGAGGAAATATTCCTTCGCAGATGAGATCATGACGATCTCAGACGCCAAGTCAATACGAATTAATTTCTCGATACCTAGTGGCCGTTCAATTTATTTACACGAGGAAACATGTTTCAATAATGTCCAATACTCCTAATGTCTTTGAGCATTATGAAATAGCATAAGATTTAAAAAAAACTGCCAAGAATTATGTTCATTAATGAATATTATATACTTTTGATAATATAAATAAATTGCTGATAATACATCTTGTAAATATATTGAAGAATTAATGTAATATGAAAATAATATAGATCAAATTTTCTTTTTTTTATCAATCAGAATTAGAATTAAATAATTGGAATAAAATTTTTTGTTGGTTAAAATTGTTCATAGTTTTTATCTATTTTTTAAAATTTCCAAGAAATATTTCATTTCTTTAGAAAAATTTGTAATTAAATTAATTCATTAAATTTGGATGAATTTGTAGTATGATCATAATATTAGTAATGATTTAATATTATTAATAAATACATTAATATGTATATTATGTAATATTATATTACATCTTATACTTTATAATTGTGAATAAAAATGAATTCATAATAATATTCTCATTGACAAAGTATTATTATTTTTTTGAAGGGAGATTTCAAAGATTTTTGTAAAATTTAACAAAATATTATAATATATACTTTGCACATTCCTTGTCTTTCACGTGGTAATTTCTCAAACTTCTAATATCTTTTTAAATCAATCTTGCGTTGATATTAAAAATAACTATTAAAAATTAATCCATTTTAAAAGAAATAAAAACATAACCTCTATAGAGAAATACCATTAACGTATCCCCTTATACCGATATTAAAACAACTTTTGCAAACATTTCTTTCGTAATTCTTCCTCTCTTTAAAACATACCTCGCTATATTTAGATAAAACCAGATATCCTGTATTAAAGTCAGTTGATGAAATTTACCACGTTTTCTTTGAAAGCTATCGCTAAAGTTTCAACGGTTCAAGACGAAAACAGCGCAGTTATTCTCGTTTCTTCGCGTAGCCTGAATTCGAGGATGCCACCTAGGTCATGGCACGTAAAGGAAAAAAATATAAAATGCATTAATGTCCGCGCAAGCTTGATGATTTATCCGATGAAAGGGACGTCGAGATTCGCCGGATACGGATCTCTCCTTCCCCCTTCCCCCCCGATACCCTTAGATATAATATCGAGAGAAATCCTTGGGGTGAATGGGAGGGTTGGTTGAAAGCGGGCCGAGCGTTATTTAATGCAAAGAACCCGCGGCATTTAATTGCGGAAAATCGGATTCCGCTGTTACAACGAGAAAAAAGGGACGTTTAAACTAGTTTTTAACCTACTTCTCTGACTAGAGGAGTCACTGCGCTTTCGCGATTTTAATGAATTGTATTTTAATGGGGTCGCAGCAGGGGGTCCAAAGTAAAACTCATCGCGTAATTTCGCCGTTTTTTTTTTTTTTTTATAACGTAAATCCCTGGCAAAGAACCGATCCTATTCCATCTCATCTTTTTGTGTTCTGGGTTCTCATCGTTGAAAAAGTTAAAATTTTAATTTTTTGAAAAATCGTCGAAAAAAAAAATAAATAAAAGTATAATATAGTGAAACATATAATGGCTATTAAAAAATATTTGCTATCACCAATTATTAATTGATTAGGTTCAAGTATAATATTTCGTATTATATAACAATACTTTTATCGATATTTCATATTAATTTTTTATATATTTCGAGAAATGTATAAACAATAATTCTATATGTAAAAATTAATCGAAATGAAAAAAAAATACAATCGTTTCATTAAAGGTTTCGTTTTTAAATTAGATTTGAAAACTTTTTAAATATAAATTGGAATATAAATGAATTGTTAGTAGAAGAACAAAATTTTTCATTTAAATATACTTTTCCAAAAAAATTGAAAAATTCGTCGAGTGCATAAATATTTGGCCACATTTTGATTACGTGTTCAATTTCGATTTTCTCAAAAATGCAATATTTGTGTAAAGATAAAAGTACGTGAAATTTTTAAAAAATAATTTTATATTAAGATTAATTTATATTATTAATAAAAGAATTAATTATTTTATATCATTTTAAGAATTATTAAAAAATTAATTACAAGTAATATACGTAATATTTAAAAAGTCAAATATTTTTGGATATGTAGATATTAACTTTTTCATGGATATTTTTCATGGATATGTAGATATTTCTTTCTCATGGATGATATGAACGAGAAAGATTTTGAAAAAAAAATGTTTAATTGTAAAAAGAGAAGAGTCATTTCATTAATTTTATTTTAAAAAATGCATTTTTTGCATTAATTATAATTATAATTGATGAAATGATATTAATATGTTTCTAAAGAACGAATAGTATAAAATAAAATTAAAGTTAATCGTCGTCCAAAGAAAAAGATCATTTTTAATCGTTTACCATCTCCGTCCTTGTCGCTTCTCGGATCTCTCACTCGCATCTCGTCTCACTAACCTATCCCAAATTCCAGACAAGCGATAAACACGATTCCTGGGAAAACTAATACACATTTCCAAAGAAAATATATAAGTCATTGATTTGTGGATGTATTCATAATCTCTGTACTATTTCAAGTATAATTTTGAATCTTTGAAATATCAGATTGAAACAAGAAGCGACTTCAATTACATAGTTTCTTCTATTTCTTATATTGGATTTTAATGACAAAATTTTTTTGTTTCTTCTTACATTTTTTATATTGAAATTTCATTTGTTTGCATGGATACAATAATTTTTTAGCTCGATACAAAGTATATACAGAGATTTAAATTTACTTAATTTAGCGCTTTGTATTTATATTTATAAATATTATTTTATTATTCTATTTTGCTTTATAATGCTTTATGAATCGTTTTTTTAAATTTTTAAATACACGTTTCTATCCTCTCAGTTTAATGAAATTTGAAAAAGATATTTAATCAATAATTTGCAGGTATATGACACGTTATGATCTCAAATTCGAAAAGTGACGTTAGGAAAATAGTCGAACGCATACATATGAAGGGGAAATTCAGGCTCATGTTTTTGCAAACACGAATGTTTAATATTTCACGTGAAAGGGAAGATCCATTGATGCGAGTGAAATTGCCTCGTCAAATACGAACGATCGTTTAAAACTAGTCAATCAACCGAAAGTTCATAATTTTTGGCGAAATTTATCTTTGAAGATGAATT